TTTTGGTGACCAGTCTTAATTTATTAAGCTAGAAGCATTTGCCAAAACGATTCTGGTAGCGACAAAGCTGCGGGGAGCTATGCAAAAAAGGCATTTTCGCACGGGCAGCCCGTGCGTTGGCTATTTATTTGAACTCTCTATCGTCATTGGGTTGTCGGAGACTCCTTCTTTTGACTGTGAATGAGTTCACGACTGAAGTTGGAGTTTCAGAAGAATTTGCTCAATATTTGCGGTACGCGCGCCGGTTGGATTTCTTCGAGACACCAGATTACGAGTATTGCTATAATCTTTTCAAATCAGTGCTTGATAGGCTCGGATATGCCTATGATTACGAATTCGACTGGACGCCAAAGCTTAACCAAGTGGTTCGTTTCTTAGGCCGTTTTTCGGCAAATTTCACAAAAATCGCCACTGTGCTCTTCGTTTAGTAGACTTCAGACTGCAGCTTTATTGAAGTTATGCGGTATCTTTCCATTGCGTGTAGCGGCGTCTGCAGAGCATTGCTTTTCATCGCATTTTCATCCTTGTGTCGTCGGGAAGCACATTCTTTGGTGTTTAATTTGTATGGTGAAATTTACCATACTTGTCAAAAAAAAATTTCTTTATCATATTAGTGATCGAAATGGCACTATAAAATTTTTGAAATAGACTTGATTTTGGGATGAAACGGTTTTACCTTTTCCCTCCCCCCCTTTTCTTGCTCGTTTCGAAGTATATCTTTCAGCATGTTCTGGAATTTTTTAGGTAATATGTCAGGTTGCAAAAGGCGGGCTGTGAAATGCATTATTGCGCCATCTTCCCCGAACTTTCCTTTTTTACGTAAACCTTTTTGATTTTTGTTCATTTCCAAAAAATAGCTCGCTTTCTCGGGGTTCCACTTCCATCTTGCTGCAGTGTAGCTCGTAGTAGCATTATGCGTGCTTCTGCTTGCTTAAGTTTTTGCTCCGGTGCTAATTTTGGGTGGCGTTGAATACACGCATTCAACAGAAATTATCATAACTGCTGTAAAATCTACCTGAACAATCACTGAAGAGAACAAATTGGGTTATTTTTTGTTCAGATTGGGATAAGCAAGTTCGGACGACTGGCTTTCATTCATTCATCCATTTTTTATTCA